CCTGGGTCTATTAAATCTCTCTCTCTCTCTCTCTCTCTCTCGTGTTGCTCCTGTGTCTAGTAAGTCGCTGTCTCTCTATTGTTCCACAAGACCCATAAGTATCCCAACTTAAACTCTTGAATTCCGATTATTGTTCGTATGGGCCAAGTCTTGTAAAACTCTCTCTCTCTCTCTATCCACTTATTGTAGCTATATGTCAAGTAAGGCATCTTCCTCCACTAATTGTTACTATATCAATCTTTCTCCACTTAATGTTGCTATGTCAAGTAAATCTTATATCTGTTTCTCCTCTTTAATGTTCCTACGTCAAGTCTCTCTCTCTCTCTCCACACTTATTGTTCCTATGTCAAACGAGTCTCTCTCTCCCCACTTATAGTTCCTATGTCAAATGACTCACTCTCTCTCTCTTTAATTTAAATTTTATTAGGGTCGTTTCCTTGTAAGTTCCGCTTCCAACCAAAGAGAACAGACAAATGAACCGAGCACGGCCCTAACGTGTCGCCCACTCCTAAAGTCCTGTCACTTGCACACATGAGGGAGACACAGAACAAATAGTGGAACCCAACCTAGCGTCTACTCGTGAATGGTAAACATATGCGTGCAGTGATGTATGCCCATTCTCACAATCATATTCCAAGAATAACACTAAGGTACAATGGCTACATCCTAAAATCTTTTGGAAATATATTCACACCACTCAACACAAATTTTCATGTCCCTTTTCTCTTTTAACCTACTTTTTTATTTTATTTTATTTTATTTATGAACAAGTAAATTCCAAGTCTCCACTAAAGCTCGATATTTACAAGATGCGTATCTATCATTGCTAAAACTTTCAAAATTAGCTATAGAGAGAAAATCCTCTCTCCACAACTCCCGTTTTTTTTTTTTTTGTTTGTTAGTTTGTTTTTGGAAGCATGTTGTATGAGCTTCTAAGTGGAGGTACACGTTGAAGATGTCTTATCAGCTTTCTTCTTGTGAATTTGGTTGAGTGGTATGGCAATTTTCCCTCTACGGACCTGAAAGAAAGAGAGTCGTAAAAGGGCTGCTTGCTTATTTTTTACGTGCTAACAAACAAACATCCACAATACATTGGGACGCCTTGCAATGTGCCGACTACCAAATGCGTGCAATGGTCCCATTGTCTCTCATCAATTTCACTTAAATAGTTCACACCTCTCACTCTTATATATATATATATATATATATAGGAGAAATGATGAGATTAGCTCACTAACTCATATGAACATATAAGCCTAACGTTTCAGATTGATTCTAGGTCGATCTAATAATCACAGATGTCTAGTAGCGTTTGAATTTTAGTTTTTTTTTCTACAAATCCAAATCACTTGAAATTTTAGGCGTGTTTTCATAAAAACTAGGTGAATCTTTGAAAAATATCAAAAAAATATTTTACATGAAATAAATTGACTAAAATACCCCTGAAATGATTCAAGAGGTATTTTGGTCATTATATTTTCTACGAATAATTTTTTTTATATTTTTATCAAGTGCGCCTTGATGAGAAGAACATACCCATACATATATATGAAAAATCTTGTACGCCCATGTGCATATCGCTACAGTAAATACCTAATGGCCCAGATTGAATCTAGGCCGATCTGACGGTCACAGTTGTCCGAGAGTGTTTTAATTTTAATTTATTTTTCTAGAATTCCGAATGATCTGAAATTTGGAGCGTACGTACATCTTAGTGAGGCGCACCTAATAAAAATATAAAAACAAGAATTTAGAAAAATGACCAAAATACCCTTGAAATTTTTCAGGGGTATTTTGGTCAATTTATTTCAAGTAAACTATTTTTTTTATATTTTACGTAGATTCGTCTATTTTTATGAATACATGCTCCAAATTTCAGATCATTCTGATTTGCAGAAAAAATGAAAGATAAAACACTACCGGACATCTGTGATCGTCAGATCGACCCATATTCGATCTGGGCCGTTTGGCATTTATTGAAGCTTTACATGAATCGATGTACCATAGCATATTATATATATATATATATATATATATATGTTTCTATAAGGTTGCAACCTTAAATAATCCAATTACGGCGCACCTCCAAAGTTTATCATAACATGTAATTTTGGTGTAAATCCTTTTTAGGATTATTTGAAACTCTATTTTTATACCTAATTATAAAATTTTAAACTCAAAAAATGGTTAAAATCAAGTAGATCTATAAACATATGAAAATCTTGAAAATAGACAGCCTAGATAATGTGCTGAAAATCTTGAAAATGGACGGTCTAGATAATGTGCTGAAAATCTTGAAAATGGATGGTCTAGATAATGTGCTGAAAATCTTGAAAATGGACGGTCTAGATAATATGCTGCAAGATGCACTATTTATGGGACTCAAAATCTTTTTTTATTATGCATTCATATATCTAAATGTTGAGATGATCAATTAGAGGGCTTTCTAACACTAAAACAACTTTTCCCGATGGATTTTTTAGGTGCATCTATAATTCTACATTTTAAGGTTACAACCTTATATAAACTTTTTCCATATATATATATATATATATATATATATATATATATATATAATAATAAGTAGACGTACTATTACTTACTTATACGTAGTACGTACTACTATTACTACTACGTACTAGTGTAGTAGTAAGTAAGTACGGTAGGA